AAGAAGTGCTCAACACACTGACCCTCTCGGCTCTCACTGACCATCACCACGACCTCATCTGCAAATTCGGTGAGAAGCTTCTGCACCATCCTCGACACTGGCTCCTATTACCACCCTAGATCCTTCATCCGAGAATTGTTGTTCCACACCACAACCGCATCCAGCCCATACGAGCACGAACTGATCGCTATAAGGACAGCCCAGTCCCAACCATGGTAAAAATTATCAACAACTTGTAATCAACCAGTGCATTCACTCCCTGTCAATCTTACCCTTTTGCACTGTCACTACGTCGAAATGTCCTGTAGTATGACGTTCTCCCCACCTAGTTATTATATATCGTATTTATATCACTTATGTTACTTGTATATTATTTGTCAATCAAGAGACCCATTCCCCACATAACTGTATATTTTCAGCCTTCCGGATGCCATGCTCTTTCAATGAACCGTTAATAATAATTATTATTATTATTATTATTATTATTATTATTATTATTATTATTATTATTATTATTATTTACATCCAGAGACGTTCCCATATTAAGGTTGTGAGAGAACTAGGCAATGGTTCTTACTGGTCAATATAGAATGTAAGAATGTCTACGAAAATAACATCCAACTACAGTACAAATAAAATAAAAAAACAAAGATAAATTTTATTTGATAATGTTTAGAGGAAAAATATATTGAGAATAGTTGTGTGAAAATATTGTCAATTTAATGATCTTTTTGTGCCTCTTAAGTGGTGTTAAATGAACGTATCTCTAGTTAAAGGTGACCACCACTATACCACTTGCTGGCTTAAAAGTCATGGCAAAAGTCATTAACGATGGGTGGAGGGAACCGGTCGGCCCCTCCAAACGAACACGAGTTGTCAACGTGATCTGCTCTGGCTCACCCAGTACACAGGACTTTCGAGATTAACACACACACACACACACACACACACACACACACACACACACACACACACACACACAGTTATTGTTGTGGTTAGTGGATTTGGTTGTGATGTTTTTGTTGAATATGTTATACTTGTTGTTATCATTTTGGTTATTGTTGTTATTGTGACTGTTATTATTATTTTTGTTAATGTTATATACTGTTGTTATTGTCACTTATTATTATTATTAGCATTGCTGTTACTGTTGTTATCCATGTTATTGTTATCAGTGTTATCATCACCCTCGTCAATAACCCGTTCATGGTCTGGGTTAATAACACCTACGTCTTCACTAACGTCACACACACAACCACGAAAGAGAAAGTCACCACTGGCGCCCTGAGGAAGACGCAACACCCCGGGGCATAAAACGAACTCCCGGAAAATACTGTTACTGTGTGTATGTCCTTGAGTAGTGGAGGCGCAGTGCACTCACCTGTATGTATGTCACTAATGAGAGGTGTGGTGATGGAGTGTGCGGGGGTGGGGTGATGGGGTGCGCGAGAGTGGGGTGATGGGGTGCGCGAGTGTGGGGTGATGGAGTGCGCGAGCGGGATGGGGTGCGCGAGAGAGTGGGGTGATGGGGTGCGCGAGAGTGGGGTGATGGGGTGCACGAGTGGGATATAGGTGCGGAAGTGGGTTGATGGGGTACGGTAGTGGGGTGATGGGTTACAGGAGGGTGGGGTGATGGGTTTACAGGAGGGTGGGGTGATGGGGTGAATGTTTTGGGGATTTTTGTCGGGAGATTTTTTACATTCGATATTTTGTTTCCCCGTTAACTGGAGATAAAGACATATTACAGGATTACTTTATGTTTCCTGACTGAGGATGTGAGAGTAACTTACGTAAGCTTAGCATATAATCTCAAAGACGTTTACCTTCACCTTTTCTTGATGTGAGAACGTTTTTAGTTAGCTCATTTAAACCTTTGAGGAAGATGGTTTAAACCTTTGAGGACGATGGTTGAACCCTGCTGGACTCAAAGGACTAAACTACAATACAAGGACAGATTCTCAGAGATTTTAACTTGAAACATTTCCCTTAACTCGAGCTATATAAATATGTCTTAACTCCAACAGCAACATATAGTCTCGCAGGCTCCTTGGTGTCGTATGTTAAAATTTCTCTCTGACTGGTGACGCAAGAACGAGAGGAACTGGTTCACATCACCCACGACACAAAGATGGCGGCCAAAATGTCATGGTGATGATACTAACTAGACTGTGGGGCGCCGGTGGGTAGAGCGGTACCGCTCTTGCCTCGCAAGTTGTTCGGACACACTTCCCAGCCTCCCTTGGTCCCTGTTCACCTAGCAGCAAAGCAGGTACCTGCTGTAAATCGAAAGTTGCGAATTCGTATTCAGGGACAAGTTGTTGGAGCTTCCAATAACTTGCTTAGACATAAGCCATTGGCTCGTCAGGCTTCTACGCCCTTGACTCTTCAGGCTTCTACGGTCCTTAACTCATGAGACATAAAGGCAAGCATGAACTTAGCATGCTTCCCTGTTGGGCGCTGTAAACGCTTCTGCGCTTCACCTGACACAAGGATGTAGGGGGGTGCCCAATAAAAATAAATAAATAAATAAAAACAATAACTAGACTGTGTCATACTTGTCTCTCTGAGGATGGCATTAACTGAGTGTGCACAGTGAGACCTTCATATAACGGACTTCGATCTAACGGACTATACCCTCTTTCATATAGTCCGGTAAAAGTTTTCATATACAACGGACTTCCCTTTATCATATAGTCCGGAAGAAGGTTTCATATTTAACGGATTTTGATCATGTGGACTAATCTCTCATGAATCCGAAACATTTATGGACAGAATAATGCATCTGTGTCTACTGCTTCGGGTTCACGAGTCTCAATCTCGGGTTTGTGGTTCAGGAGAGGCGATAGGAGTTTTGTGGGTGAACTGTACAACACAACGTGAAGTACGGTGAATGATATTACTGTTGACGCTATGGCGGGAAACTGTGATCAGCATTGTATGTAGATGAGGCCAGAGAAAAACCTTGGCGTTATAGTACATGTGAATATTAATGTGTTAAGGTTAAAGTAGGTTACGATCACATGAACTCGGGTCAACCGTCTCTACCGATACGAACCATGTGACTATCATCATAACTAACCTAATTAACTTAACTAACCCAAGTTAAACTCATTAAATTAACCTAACTTCACTTCACTTAACCTTGAAACAGTGACGGCTGATCCCCTATGCCTAACAGCAGTGTGGTTATGACTGTGGGTCCCAGCGGCTGACAGTGGTCTTATACTAATCCTTCGGTATAAAAGGAGGCCGCTATTCCTAAGTGCAAAGTTTGGTGCAGCCGAATGCTCCCCCACCCCATGTGCACAGTCGCAGGTTTGTGTCACAGCCACTTGGTCACCCTCGGTAGTGTTGGCACAGTCTAGTATGTTAACACAGTGAAGGAAGTATTAAAAGTAACAATATCAGTGAGACCAAATATACACTAACTTCCATTATGTTATAACGACAAAATCTTCTCTTATTATCAGCAGTGCGAGGGTCTTATAACTCAGAAAACTTTAATGTACCCAACAGCAACGATCAGCCAGTTCTCTATACATACATTTCCTATATTATATACACGAGGTCTGTCCGGAAAGTATCCAGTCATTTACTATTAAAAAAAATATTGCTTACCTAGGACAATGACTCCTTAGTCCCCTTCAAGGTACTCCCCTTGGGACCTCACACACTTCTCCCAGCGTCCCTTCCACTTTTCAAAACAGTCTGCAAAGTCCTCTTTCGGGATCTCCATCAGCTGCCTCGTCGCATTCTCCTTAATCTCGTCCAGGCCAAACAATAACGATGGAGTACTACATCGAAGTTTTTCGCCGGCTGAGGGATGCGGTAAGAAGAAACGACCGCAGCTGTGGGCAAGTGGTGACTGGCAGCTTCATCATGACAACGCGCCTGCCCATTCTTCACGTCTCGTGCAGGGTTTTTTGGCAAAACATCGCATCACCCAGGTTTCTCAACCCCTCTACGGCCCAGATTTGGCTCCCTGCGACTTCTGGCTTTTCTCAAAGCTAAAATCGCCGTTGAAAGGGAGGAGATTTCAGACCGTGGACGAGATTAAGGAGAATGCGACGAAGCAGCTGATGGAGATCCCGAAAGAGGACTTTGCAGACTGTTTTGAAAAGTGGAAGGGACGCTGGGAGAAGTGTGTGAGGTCCCAAGGGGAGTACCTTGAAGGGGACTAAGGCGTCATTGTCCTAGGTAAGCAATATTTTTTTTAATAGTAAATGACTGGATACTTTCCGGACAGACCTCGTGTATATATATATATATATATATATATATATATATATATATATATATATATATATATATATATATATATATATATATATATATATATATATATATATATATATATATATATATATATATATATATATATATATATATATATATATATATATATATATATATATATATATATATATATACATATATATTATATATATAATATTATATATATATATATATATATATATATATATATATATATATATATATATATATATATATATATATATTCAACAATCAGAGAAGCACTCCACCGGCCACACTCCAATATCGTGTCCCAGAAAGTTGAGGGTCACCCATAGTGTTGTTATGACCGCAATGTATGGAGAGCTCCGTGTAGTGAATAAGTAACTACTATGGTTCACATAATGGCTCACAACACTATTGCGTGATGAAAGCTTCGTGTGATGACCTATTTACAGTTATTTTCTATTCCACACGACACACAACTGACTAAGATGATTCAGTTGCTTCCCACAACCACCTCATCATCATTTGAGCAGCTTCACATATCTTCGTCAGCCCGCGTCTGTTTATGGCGTCGTTAGACCAAACGTAGTAAATATGGTAATAACAAGGAGAGAGAGAGAGAGAGAGAGAGAAGGTGGGGGGAAGGAAAGAGGGGGGTGAATCAATCAGTGTCAGGGTGGGGACTCGGGGAGAGGCAATATAACAGCGGACGGAGACCTCAACGCCACAGTCGGCAGGCAGCAGAGCGGCAACTCGCATCTATCCCGCCCTCGCTAGTGGCCACACAGACTCGCCATTACAAGCTTACACTCTGATAACAACCACCCTTATTCTCCACATGTCATCCCGTCAGGTCACACAACACATCAAGATGGAATTTCTAATACTGCTCGTGTCCGTGATGTCCGTCGCGTCTGCACTAAGAGGGAATTCAATTCTAGGTGAGGTTTACATCTTTTACGAGTTCCTTGACCTTGCTCTGCCTCGCTCTCTGGTTTCTTGTTTCATTCTTTCATATTTATTCGAATAAATTAAACTAATTTTGTATTAATTAATAAATATACTCAGGTAGGCTCAACACAAATGCCTAATATTAAGAACCTTAAACTTATATTACACGATAAACCTGTAAAGATGAAATGGAACCAAGAATTGTTTTTGTCTTCACTGTGTGATTTACTGAGTCTCTTCTCTCCCCTCCCCACCTGTTTGTCGGTGTGTAGAAGACGCTATCACTGAGGGAGTTGACTGCAACGCTCCTCAGGATGTAGGGACGTGCTCAGGGCAGGAAGAAGCCTGGTACTACAACAGCGCTGAGGGAAGCTGCATCTTCTTCGTTTACTCCGGCTGTGGAGGCAGCGGTAACAGGTGAGCTCACTGCAAGCAGAGGACGGACAAAACTTATTCTAGCATAGTCCCTACAGACGCTGTTAAATGGTCGTGCAGGCAATGTGTTAACGGTGTAGGCGTGAGGGGAGAACTGTTCACTGACAACTACAAGTGAGGGAGGATGTGGGTATGGAGGAGTGTGTTGTGTTATGCAGAGATAGTGTAATACTGATGTAGCACTACCCTGAAAGATACCGCCCTTCTGGGTAATGGACGGAGGCCTGGGCAGCATATACAGAGCATGTCAAAAGTTTCAAGAAATAATTTAGATATTAATCAGGTTTCAAGGTCAAAGTTGTGAGGTCAAGGTTACGTCATTACGATATTTTTTAGATACTAATTACTCACAGGAAATAAGGATTAGATAAGAAGATAGTAGTGACGATAGGCGAGAAGTATTAGATAAGAAAATTAATACTGTAATGTGGGCAAATAGATTCGATATACGTTAGGGAAGAATAATTATAGACTGATTATAACGTAACACTGATATATATGAAAGGAGTTTATCAAGGGTGTCAGTCAAGGGTTAAGGGGTACGAGTCAGCTGAGGGTTAAGGGGTACGAGTCAGCTGAGGGTTAAGGGGTACGAGTCAGCTGAGGGTTAAGGGGTACGAGTCAGCTGAGGGTTAAGGGGTACGAGTCAGCTAACAATTAAGGGGTATGAGTCAACTAAAGGTTAAAGGGTACGAGTCAGCTAAGGGTTAAAGGGGTACGAGTCAAATAAAAGTTAAAGGGTACGTGTCAGCTAAAGGTTAAAGGGTACGAGTCAGCTAAGGGTTAAGGATGAGTCAGCCTGTAGAAGGTCCCTGAAACCAAGTGGTCATTGTGTGTGTTTAGGATGAACAACAGACTAGATGAAGATGTCAACAAGTTAGGTAAGAGTTTCTCCTCCCCTACACCTGCCCCTCCCCCCCCTCCCTACCTGCCCCACCCCCTCCGCCTCTTGTTTATGGTCATCTCCTTGTTCAACCATAATTCGACACCCCCCTCTTACCACCACATCCATTTCGAGCACAACCCTCTTCCGTATATGGCGATCTCCTCCCTCACTACCTCCCTTCCTCCCTCACTACCTCCCTCCTCCATCACTACCTCCCTTCATCCCTCACTGCCTCCCTTCCTCCCTCCCTCACATAACCACTTCCCCTCCATTCATTCCCATTAAGTACGACCCACTCCTCTATTTCAATCTTCCCCTATCCTTCCCATCCCACTTCTCTTCAACACCATCTTATACATGATCATCTACCTATTCCTCTCCCCCTTCCTCCCTCAGTAATCACTTCTCTCTCTCCCTCTCCCTCTCTCTCTCTTACAGGTTCGTGAATAGGATGGCGTGTGAACAGGCGTGTGAGAAGTTCAAATGCCCCGACTTGGACTGCCCAGATAGCTGCACGCGAACCTTGGGCTCTGACGGCTGTAAGATCTGCGCCTGTACTAAAGGTTGGTTCCTCTTCCCTTGTCTGGTGGTTTATGTCCTGGAACAGTCTGTTAGGATCCTCGGTAGTCACCCTGCATGTTCTAGCTGGTCCTGGGTATACCGTAGCGAGTGTTGGTGTAGTCTAGTATATACCGCAATAGAGAATAAGAGAAAGTTGATTCTAGCCTAGGCCTGACGACTCACCAGGAGCACTTAATATTGACTCTTTGAATTTTTGATGCGTGCTGTTAGGAAAGATCGTAGTAATCCTCGACTTGGGGTGGGGAAGGACTTCTGTTGTCGTAATTAGTTCCGGAGTGAAGGATAAACCTGAAGAGTGTTTATTGGGTTTCTGGGAGAATTTAATGAATGGTGGTGACGATGAGTGGTGGGGAGGCTCTAGTGATGGAAACAAAAGTCAACGACACGTGGGAAGAAAGTTTTTTGTTGATGGTAAACTGGTCTGAGTAAACTCGGGTGGAGGAGACAATGACCTAGTGTGAAACCCGAGCCCCGGCACTACTGTTGGCGTAAGAAACAGTGAATAAAGTACCAAGATCAAATATAAATCCCAGTTCAGACATCAATTACCGAGTGGTGAGGCGAGAAGAGACGAATAAGATTTTTTTTTTAGATATTTTAGATTTTCCTCTAAAAGAGATTTCATTAGCCAATGTTATCGTCGATGTTATTGTCCAGTCATCACAATGTTGGTCAGAGGTACCTGTTCAGTGACGTCATTGTTTGTTTACCACTCTGGTTTGTGGGAAAGTATGTTAATGATGCTGGATGAATTATTTACTTATGGAAATATACATTACCAGGCTCAAAAATATTATAATTTTATTTTAAGGATATCTCAAACGTAATTAATGAACAAGAAACCTCAGCTTCGTAAGGTCATATCAGTGTAACGTAATAATAACCTCCATTTTTTGTATGCCAAGCACTACTTAACATTCACATTAGACAAATTCACTTGGCATTAAGGACACATTCAAAAGAATATTCCAAAACATATGAGGTATACATTTTTATTAAGAATGTTGTATTGTTATCGTTGTCATATTATGTGTGTATCTGTGTTGACGCTGGTAAGGTGTTGTAAAGTTCACGACGACTAACGGTATTAGTTTGTTTTTCGCTAATCTACTTTCCAATAAATTTTTAGTTATCCAACACAGGAAGAGCGGTGAAACACTATCCCCACCAGGCACACACACACACACACACACACACACACACACACACACACACACACACACGATTCACTTGTCTTTCCTCGATCAATAGTGCATGAACTTAGAGGTCTTGTCGTGCCAGGCCCACTAATGCATCACTTTCTACCTGTGTGTGTGTGTGTGTGTCACCTGTCACTCTCTGTTAATGTTCACGTTTAAACCGTCAAGTAATATAATTTTTTATGAGAATTCAAAACTTTCACTGTTATGTAAAATAGTCACATTATCACACACAAATTATTATCAATTACATCATCCTAGACAATCACAAATATATACGAGAATTATGTATATTCACACTTGGTTAAGAGGTTCAAATTTGGCCCAATAATATTTTTAGAACCTTAGTATGTAAAGGAGACGCTAACAGTGTTTATGCCGCCAAAAATCGCAAATATTTACATTTTAAAAGTTCACAGATCTTAAAAGTTCATAGGTATCATTACGTGTGTTCCTGGTCGCTTAAAATACACACTATAACGTCTCCTACACACACTAAGGTTCCAAAAATAGTGTTTTATTTGGTTTCGTCTCTAGCTAAATTATATATCCACTAAATGAAATTCAACTCTTCCTTTGCAATATCGTGTATATGTGTACGAACATCATAGAAAACAAACTTGGAAGGAATGTGAGGGATATTTTCTTCAAATTTATAAGTTGTTTTCAAGTGTAGAGACCAATGTAGCATACGATTGATTCTTAAATGTTTTAATAGTTGAATCACCATAAGATACAAAAACAATATTTATCACTCTTAATTTAATCATACTTCAAGATAAAGTTCACTCAACTATCACTTATCTTTTTCTTGGTTACCTGAATAGTGTGAAATGTTAGATTAATATGAGGATAACGACGACTGTTGACGCTATAGGCTAGGCTAACAGTGGCGCGTGTGAGTTATGTCGACGGGACGGACTATTAGAAAATGAAAGTGGTTTAGCATCGTACATTACTGAGTTGGATGAGATGTAACAAAAAATCAATAAAAATACAGTATCATTTATTACAGCTCCTACTTAATGCTTCCAACTTGTATGAACTAAATGATATATTATAACGATAGCTTATGAGCAGATGAGAAAAATGGACATCATAAATTATACGTTAATATGCTCCAAATATGCCCCCCTATCACACCACCGTAACCTTTGAACTGATGTAGGTTAACGAAGTCTCTTACACTTTTTTTGCCTGAGCCGTTCGTTCATAGTGGGCGTGGGTCGTGGTAAGTCGTGTGGAGAATGGTAAATGACTTGACCCCATTATTTTGTACAGTACCTGTCATGGTACTACAAGTGACCACCTCCATTATTCTCGTCATCGTTATTGTTACAGAAAATATGGTTGATGGAAAACATAACACAACATACTATGCCTGTACAGTATATGTATGACACTTTAAGACATTCGATTGAGTTAAATGTTCAGACAGAGGACAAGTCCCTAAGTGAATCAAAATATAATCAACAGCCTATGGAACGAATGAACTGTTCGTAGATCTCTTTGGTAAGTAAAAATTAAGCAGTACTTGCTGCATTGTTGCTTTTAGTGTACTTATGATGATTAACGAATAAACAGAGATATAAACAAGAAATTTGTATGTTTTCTTCAGAAATTGCAAGACAATAGTACGTTGAATTTATATTCATTCGCTAGCAACCCTAAAGAAATTACTGTACTTACAATGCACCACAATATATAATATACACTAGTATTTTTGTATCTGATCCAATTGAATACGATAAAAAGTTAAAAGTCATCATTATACACTCATTGTTGTTATAAAGTGTAGGCAGGGAGTGAGGGCGGAGGGAGAGTGGTTTGTTTGGTGAATCATGAGAGTTGGGGCTACGACTTTCACCTGGTGCTGGACTTCCCCCGCCCGGTTGACGTTCACGCTAGGTTAAGAGTCATTCCCCGCCCACCAGTGTTACTATAGTTGCGTAACTCTTCCTCCTTATCAGGAATGTGACTGCTGACCCTGTACATACGTACAGTTAATGTAGTGTTATATACAAGCTTAGATGAGTAAACAAATTGTGTGTGTATATATATATATATATATATATATATATATATATATATATATATATATATATATATATATATATATATATATATATACTGTATATATATATAAACTAGGTATCTACTTTTTTTACTCTAGTCTGGCTGTCAAAGAAAACTATTTTTATTATTATTATTATTATTATTATTATTATTATTATTATTAAATAACGTTATTCATAAATTACTGACAGTAAGCCATATTCATGCATCATAATGTAAATATCTTCATGAAAGTGTCTTTCGCTTTGAATAACAACTGAATTAATGCATTAGACTGGAACTGTCCGCGTTCGGTGGCCGATACCAATTTGGGGAAAATTAGAAAAACGGTGGTTATAACCCCAAGGGAGGTGGGGTGTCATAGCCGCACTATAAACTGGGTATACTGTACCTGATAGCTGTTTCCATGGTGACTACCAGGGCTGGCTTCGTCCCCTGTCATGTTGTCGGTCACCCTGCATCCAGTATCACTTTCTCCTTGTCAACCCGTCTGTGACTTTTTCCCTGTTGAGTCAGGAAAGCTGGAATTAACAAATCATGAGCCTCTTAGATATCGGGGCGTTATGAATCCTCCCCATCATGAGACTTTTCTTCATAAAGAGTCACACGAGCGGCTGAGTCTATAAACAATTAAACCTATTATAGTTGGTGCTGTTGGATCGATGAGCCTTTTTTTTATATTATAACTTTCAAAACGCCTTCATAAATCTCTATTGTACTTGGTAATATGAATAATATATAATTCAAGAATAAAAACTTATCCACTAATATTAACTGTAAATACAAAAATAAAGTGTGAATTTAAACTATCATTTAGTCTAGACGCTGAGAGTGGCGACGATTCTGGTACCAAAGACTACAGAGAATTTAAACCGACCAAAAATAATTTAAATCCCTCTAAATTACCTTCAAAGATAAGGCCAAATTTTTACGAACTCTGAGATCCACTGATACGCTCGAAAAAATTTCATCTCGTACGATATTTGGAGATTACACTTTGACCCCCTTACATGTTTACAAGCGACCAGGTTGAGTAAGTATGTATAAGAGGGGGGGGGGAGGGTCACTGCTAATATGGAAAGTGGGAGGTGGAAAGGGAGAGAGAGAGAGAGGAAGGGTGGGGGGAGGGAGGGAAGGACAAACTCAGCGTTGATGGAAAGCCCCAAACATTCACCCCGAGCAGGCTGTGTGAGTGTAGGCTTTCCTCTCCCCCATGATGGCCGTGTTTACATAGGTACACAAAGTGAGAGGCGCTTGCTTCTCAGTCACAACAGGCTCCACACACACACACACACACACAGTTTAATTATACCACTCATATTAAATTGTTAAGCATATACATCGTTATATTGCGTTAGTGATAGTATAATATAATATAATATAATATAATATAATAAGAATAAATTTGTTACTACGACTACAAATAACACCATAACAATGATACTATTACTACTAGTACTACTGATAATAATGGTAATTGTGTACATTTTGGTGATAAATCATAATAATACTTTTACAGATAAAGGGGAAAATATCAAAAGACAGACGAGTGATATAAGATACCGTAGTCTGTGAATGGAGAATATACAAATAAATTAGTTGGTGGTGGCCAGCATGTGCAGGTAAAGTCATCAGGTGTTCCTACCCAGGACCACGTGCCTGACACGTAAAAAAGGTCACATTTAATCAAGGCAAAAAAAGGGAGTTCGTGTTGAAGTGAGCCGAGTAAATGTCTGCCAAGTTTTTATTATCTGGTCCAGAACCTAAGGAGAAACGATTGACTATTAAATGTTTCCTAAAAGAAGGACCGAGTAAAACAACGCCTCCCTTCCTTTAGTGATATATTTAACGTGAAGAAATTAATAACTTGCATGCTTGCTGGGAGTATTCGTAATTTACAAATAAAAACATGGAAATATCTGTAAGAGACGAGATCATTTTTAACGAAGAGAACAATTAGACACAGGCATAAATGCCAGGGCATTAGAGGAATAATTAAGACTAATGTATATACTACTGATGGTAGATGACAACAGTGGAGTAGTAGTTGAGGTGAGGAGTAACGGGAGGGTAGGGAGCCTCAGGTGGCCATGATTAGAAAGTGTTGAGGAAGGTGACTGACCCACGAGTGCTGGCTGGCGCCAATAGGGTGCCGATCATGTTTTGTAGTTATATTTAGGCATGAAAATACATCCCACTCCCACTACATGTTTTATGCTGTTCCCATAAAGACACTATATTATATATCTTTGAAATGTCGACATAAAATGTCGAGGTTCTTTATATACACCAGAACCTGTAATGCACAGTACACATGCAGATCAAGATTTACTGACTTAAGAAATATTTTCAAATTTCATTCAGCTTGGTTGACTGTCACTAGGGAACCTGAGATATTAACACTCTTACATTATGACGCCTCTAAAGGTCAGTTTCCTGACACCAACACGGTAGTGGTGGTGAAGGTGTCTGGACCGAGGAAAAATGCTTTACTCGTGAGCGGGTTCAGCATGTTAGCACGTGATGGGAGCCCAGATTCTGCCTATATTTGACGCCTGCCGCTCACACCATCTCTTTAACACAGATTACTTTCACAGATTCATAGCGGAATATAACCTAACCTGATTCTTGGGTTCATTAATCTTAAGGAACTTGAGCAGTTACAGAAATACTTGCAATAATAACTAACTTGTTGGTCTAGATGCCGAAAACTATTACACCAAATTATCTACTCACTAATATTAAATACACTGTCAAGAAAAAAGAGCAATTAGAGATAACAATATACAGTATCAACCTCAAACACTAATACAAGACTATAACAGTGTTGTCCAGAATCCCAACTCACAAAGCTTCTGTATTTTGATTTTGTCTCTTAACAGGTGCTACCTGAAGCAGAGTCTCGGTGTAATTATTGTGCTATTTTAGGCCTTAGTTTCCATGTTTTAGCTCATGTTAATCAGGTAGATGCGTTCTTACATCAACTGTTGCTAGAAAAATTCGACTCAAGACATTTGAAAAAGCGGACATATACATTAGCCTCTACATTGACTAGCATGGTCTATAATTCAGTGTTTCTCAAACTGGGGGCCATGGCCCCCAAGGGGGTCACGGCAAGATTTTAGGGGGGCCATGGCCGGCTAGTGTGAGTAGTATATGTTTGGAGAAAACGTTGAAACCCTGATTCAACTTTTATTTGTTACTTTGCCTTGTTAGGGGAGAAATCTTTTTATTTTGTCTTTTTTTTTCATTGTGTGTAATCATAATACCCATACGGTACAGATTACAGTACATTGTATGGTGCAGCAGCTAATAGTATTTCATTTCCAAGGGATTCGCTCAGATTGCACGATTTTAGTTCCTGTTCAGACGAACTCTTTGATCTCAGAACTATTCTGCTGCCAGAGACCTCTATGAGGAAAAATCTGACTGTCTTCTGGTGCTCAATGTATCAGTCATATCCAAAAGTTAGTGAGGTCGCACCCTTCTTCAAATAGAGAATAAAAGCCGAAACCGGTTACATGTGGACCCCGACATGAGATGTGCTTTATCAGTGGCTCAACCTCGAATCAGTCGACTGACTGAAAGGAAACAATGTCATCCATCCCATTGAACTGTCACAAAATATGCATTCTGTTTGATGATTGAAAACATTAAAATAAAGGAAGAGAACCAAAACAGTTTATTTTCATCATTATTTGTGAGGGACTTGGGAGAGAACTGAAGGGGGCCACGAGGAGGTTGAGAGTTCCTCGCGGGGGGAATGAAGTGAAATTTTTTGAGAAATACTGGTCTATATACACGCTGAATCCATGTGAACTCCCCGTGTACTCGTACCTATCTAGCTGGCGACTCAATGATCACTGAATAGCCCAAGGTGTGGCGCCAGTTTTATGGTTGGAGTGGCAGAGGGTTTTGTGAACAATGATCAATGGTTGGTCAGCAAGGCCAGCGGGAGTGTACAAGGAACTTTCATCATGTGAGACTTGGTGGGAGCGGTGATGGTAGTGTTGCTAAGCTAGGAGTAAGGCTAGGCTGTATGTCGTCGACCTCCTCCCACCCCTCTCACATTCGCACCAGCCAGGCGCCAGTGAATGAAAGTACTCTAGCGTATAACCTCGCTTAACCTGACGAATTAGTATGTTAATGACTTGGCTAAATTTACAGATATAGACAAAAAAATATTCTTTCATAATTTACAGATATAGACAAAAAATATTCTTTCATTCTTTCAAGCTAGACGTTCTTTCCCATAGGGGCTTGACGGGTTAAAACACAAACACAAAGTGACAGAATCTTATTCCTTGTCTCTCCTTATTCACTCTAACTGTTGTGACTGATGTGTTCATCCACGATGTTTCCCAACAAAATATGGCCGAAGGGAAGTACCACATTAGAGCATCTGTTACGGCAGGAAAAGTAAATAAACAATGTTTTAGTATTTACGGTTAGATTGGGAACGACAATTGTGAGGGTTGCCATAGTTCGCTTGATAAACCATTGCTGTGTTGTGTGTCTGTGAGGGCAGAACTTGACGCTGGGAATATGGGTACAAAGCAATTCTACTCCCCCCCCCCTCCCCCCTATAGTACTGTACTAACTGAGCAATGCATGGAATGATATGATTACCTAAGGACCGCTGTGTTGAGGTGGATAGTACAGTAGTTGTTTGTTGCTATCATGGGTTACTGATGTTGGGGAAAGTGAACACACACACACTATACACACACACACACACACACTATACACACACACACACACACACACACACACACACACACGATATATATATATATATATATATATATATATATATACAGAAACACGCACACAACACACATACATACACACACATACGTGTATACACAAAACACACACACACACACACACACAAAATATAAATAAATGAATATTAAACTTAGAAGGAATACGGCTAAAATTAAGTGTGGTAACTATCGCCAATAACACCACAGTAAGCCTTAAAGTAACATTTGACATACACGATCATATAAAACCGCTAACACTGCTGCTGTTGCCTTAGAAGATAATGCTAAATTTGTGTCACAGCGTCAATGAGCGATAAGCGTGTTTACTTATCTTATTAGTGGACATTCTACAGAGGGCAACCTTGAGAATCTCGTCTTGTATTGAAGCTAAAGTGAGCGAAATTTTGAGAGGTCCATATTGACATACAGTAGCAAAGGTATTTAAACTAGTTAAATTCATTCTGAGGTTACCAGTTAAGGGAATATTTTACGTATGGGCGTTTGAGAATCCGTCTTTGTATTGTAGGTTAAAGAGAGCTTGTTAGTAACGCCTTTACATATCTTAACCTAACCTCACCTCACCTTACTTAATATGACCTAAACTAACATTCTCAGACTAGGGGTGACGTGATGTAGTGAGGTGGTGGAGTAGTGAGGTGGAGAAGTGAAGTGGTGAAGTATTGAAGTGGTGAAATAGTGGAGTAGTGAGGTGGTGGTGCAGTAGTGAGGTAGTGGAGTGGTGGTGTACTGAGTGGGTGGAGTAGTGAGGTTGTCCTGCGGTGTGAAAGTTGGAGGTACTAGTGGTGTGCCTTCCTTCCTCCCCTTCTCTCCTGCTGACCTGGTTATGTTGTCCTCTATAGTCCTGAGGTGCTTATTGTGGAGGGAGAGAGAGAGAGAGAGAGAGAGAGAGATTGTTATTATCCCTTTAGGTACTTCAACTATAAGGGTTGCTAATAATTTCTACAGTTAAGAACATATACCAACTATTTTAAAAGAATCTGTTGATGTTATTTTGATGTATTTATGTACTTCAGTGACTTAAGAACATTTCTCTATTTTTTTTGTACTTAACCACAACTCTATAAAAATTAAGAAACATGTCTTAACCTTCCCGAATTCTGTTAACACGCGTTACTATCTGTTACAGCTGAAGCGTCTGTTGTGTGTGGGGAGCCTCTGAAGCGAGGGTACTGCCGCGCCCTCCACCATAAATGGGCCTGGGTGAGTGAGAATCGTCGCTGTGAGCAGTTTGTCTATGGCGGCTGTGGAGGCAACGAGAATAGCTTCGAGACGGAGGAGATGTGCCGGGAGGTGTGCTCTGGTGTGTAAGGGGCCAGTAGCTGTGTGTGTGGTGGGGGGGGGGGAGATGAACGGCACCCTGAACTCAACAGATCATTGAGTATCAATGTGTTCCAGCCAAAATGAAGAGCGGACAGTTCCTACAAAAAACCTGAGGTGGTATTTATTTCGACGAGGACAAATTTAGTTTTCTTATTCGTAGAGGTAGGGAGAGCTAGAGATGACTTCTGTAGTGTTGTTACCTTACGACACAACTTGGGTGACGTGTCCTTTCTGGTACAACTGCTATAATATGTGAGGAATATCAATAGCGGGAACACACGAGACCAGACACCGTCCACCACACACTAAGACGAGACATTAAATTACCAGCTGTCAATACCTTCTGTCTGTCTTTTCAACCGTCACTTTTATCACATTATTAGAGTTCATATGTTCATTATTTATGATATTACAGCATAGAACAGCGGTTGTTCTTCCTAGTACCTAGTTGCTTATTCACAAGTTAAACTGATTAAAAAGAAGGAACAGGAGATAAAGTTGACTCCATACACACAGGGGAAACGGACAGAGGGTAGAGCAGTAGTTCTAAGGTGTCAGTGGGTGGGACTGTGTGTGGTTTGTGTACACTCGCTCCACAGAGGGGTCATATTATCTCACACAAAATCGTAAAGAGACTTTTTGGAGCGAGTACAATCGGTTGACCACGTTTAAGCTAATGGTAAATCGCCCTTTTCACTTGTTTAAGGTTTGTTGGGTACCAAACAATGCCAGACATTGACTCGTTGATCACTGATAGATTAAGATATAATACGCTTTACTTGTACGTGTTGTGGAGGGATCAGTGATGGTCCTCACAACACAAACATGTTTACCAATGTTTACAAAGTTATCAATGTTACCATGTATGAGGGGGGTGAAGTTGTTAATTCTCAGCCTGTTGTATGATTACCTTAGGAAATATTTAATAATAATTTATTTATCAAATATTATCACACAGGGTAAACAGTAGCCTATGATCCTGACGTGTCTGGATGAGCGCCAACACTGTTTAACCCTAACAATTTTACTCCTCTTCAAAATGTATTTCCTTATTCTTTGAGTTATTTGTTAGCGGTGATTTGAGCCCTACGATCCGTTGGGCAGTACTGCGCGCTACTTGTGCACCATCAGCCGATACACATAAACAAGCAAGATGGTCGAAGCCTCTTTCATCGAATATTTTTTTTTATGATCATTTACTGGTTGTTGAAAGAGTCATAGCTGAGAGAAATTACATTTTTGGGAGGGAAGATGAGGACATGAGACGCTATCGACAATGAAGCCCTGCGAAGGTGGAGAGATATGTGGAAGCCATAATCCTGTACAATGACAAAGAATTTAAGTAGCAATTTTGTATGAGACGGTCAACTATAGAGATTGGTAATTATAAAATAAAACCCATTTTGGGCCCGCATGGACGATATTAAAATAATGCAACTGATTTATTGGAAAAACTTTAAATTGGCGGTTGCTTACAAAACTGTATCCCTCTCAGAGCCCAGGGGACCTACAGTACAGTGATCTCTTCTCAAACCTTTCCCACAACAGCTATTTACTTAACTAAACTAGCCTAAGGTTAACAATCGGTAGTGACCATGCACAGAACTCTATGTTGATTTTTATATCATATACAGAATGTGGGTAAATCTACATACAGTAATTATTTGATTTTTAGAACAGCACCACTGCCTCAACATTGTTTACTTCACGTGAAAAATTTTCTCGTCCACATATCCAGTCCATTTCCCTAAAAATGGAGCAACTATTTACTGAATCACGTTGTTATTATATTGTAGAACATTAAATATACTTACTGAAGAACTTTTGGTGCTCTACAATGCCATCACAAGATCAAAACGTTCTTTACAAGCAGAACACTGAATGAACGTTGTCGAAGCAGCAGCCATCTTCGTTGCGAAAAATAAAGACTATTCGGTACTGCAACACGGTGTTCTGTAGCCGAGCACACGCTATGTAGCACATGTATTGCCCAACGGGATCTCAAGGCTGGCGGTTGCAGCATCTAAACACGGGCGTTAGAACAAGTCTTACCAGGGCTCGGTGGACGCTGCGCCCCCTTCTTTTCTCAGGAGTGAGGGAAGCTGCTTAGTTTAGTTAATTATATTATTTATGCATATTGTTGTTTTAATTTAAGGTTTAAGAACTATTTTAGATGAAAATTTTTCTTGTTGACAATGTTATTATTATCGCACTGCTTGTGAGATATTAATGCACAGCTTGTAGTCATAACATGTGATAATGAAAACTGTTCCCCTGTTGTCACATACAAGGACAACAGATAGGGTCACGACGGCTCTGATTGGCTTCTTGAATTACTTCTGGTGATACAAACACAACACCTGGCAGCTGTAAATAATGCCCCTATTGCTCTGGAAAAAAGAAATACTGTATTCAGTGTATTATAGATTTCTAATTACTACAAAAAAGATACATAATGTGCGCTTTGTTTTTCTACCGCACGTCCATTTGGTTGACAACGTGAAAGTCGGCTCAACACAACTCTCGGCCCAGGAGGGATATTACGAGCCAAGCACACCGAGTACTAAGCCTCTATCATTGTGATCGGCACTGCATTTGACTATCTTCACTTATCTACCTGTAAAGTTAAGTACTCATTAGTAGCTGGGTCAACTTGGGGTGTGAACCAGTAATCCTCAAGGCAGAGATCGAGTCCAATATCTACTCGGTCGACGTACAAACCATTTACTATCCTGATACATACATGAATAATGTATCTATAAGCGTAGCACTAAAAATAACTACAAATTTCTTATATGAGGCAGATTTAACTCCCACACAATAATCTCTGCTAGCCAGTTGTAATGTCACAGCCAATCAGACGTCGTCATTGTGCCAGAGTCCGCCAGTTGTGAGGGGGAGGGACCAGTTTAGTGATAATGTGGGTGAAGTTACCAATTCTGAAAACCATGTTCAATAGTTGAATAAAGCTCATGAAATATTATATTAGTTTTTATTATTCACAGCACTTATTTCCTAAAGGTCCTTACTACAACACAATATAATCATTATGTCTAATTCATACATGTTCATAAATATTTCTCATTATTATACTTTACTGTATACAAACACACCTTCAGTAGACAGTACTAACATAAATACCCCCTGTACACACAACGCATGAACACTTACATTATGGTATAAAACTTGGTATAAATATCATCATTTTGTAAAAAAAAATATATAAATAAATAAATAAATATAAAAAATAAATTGCCTTTTTAGGTTGCATCAGCAGCTCAATGGCCGCCTTGGTTTACACAACAAACTCTTCCAGTCTACACTCCTACTAGTCTTTTATTTTATTTCTTTATTTTCAACTCCTGCTAAATTACATTACGTTTTCAAAGACTCGTTTCTGTCCACTGGTGATCAAAGCTCTCCAGTAATGCATTTCAACTTTTCAAATCATACGCAAGAAAGCTTCTTTGTTGACAATTTTTCCTGCAGTTTGTTGCATTTTACTAGGCTGAGACACTCTTTGGAAAGTCCATTACCTCAAATATATCATATTTTATGCTCTCAACATTTTATTGTATGTAAACACTCGCTCTAAAAAGTATCTTCACGGAGAAGGTCGATGAATTTCAAAATGAACACTGCGACTCCTGTTGTCTCGGTAGGGTTGTCAAAATCCTTCATCCGTTGTGTCATATTGTCTCACACAAAATCGTACAGATACTTTTTGGAGAGTGTGTTTTCTGCCCGAAGAGAAGCTCCAAGACTATACCTGTGATGTTACCTGTGATTATTGCCAAGAACACCTGAGGACAACATCACAATATAAGTTACATCACACTAGAGTCCCTGGATGGTCCTGAAACCCTGATTGTGTCATTTCTTGCGTTCACTAATGACACAACACGACCCTGGGGGACTGCTGGACATCGGTAAACAAACTGAACGAGAACCACACATCACCCCAGAGAGATTGACAAGACTCTTAGAATTTCGTTCAATATTGCACACAATACTAAGTTTTCTTTTAACATTCTCTTATTTACTGTAATTCTAGAATCTTGTACACGCTCAAACTCTCACAGGTTAGGTTGGGTTACCACTCTACTTATAACTAAAGATCTAAGACCGTCCTTAACCGTCTGAACATTAAAGGCCAAGAGATACAAACAATACCCAACATGGCTTCAGAATCACACCAACACTCTACCTTTAGCATAACACGTACATTTAAACACTAGTCAGGGTATACCATTAGGGGCTCTGTGACTAGTGATTGTTCCCTCTGAGAGATTCATTAATTGAGGTGTAGTAGAGGTATACTGAGCCCTGTACGAGTCAGTCCAGTGGTCAGGTGATGTGTGGACTGAGCCAGTCAGCCCTGTACGAGTCAGTCCAGTGGTCAGGTGATGTGTGTACTGCGCCAGCCAGCCAGTCAGCCCTGAACGAGTCAGTCCAGTGGTCAGGTGATGTGTGTACTGCGCCAGCCAGCCAGCCCTGTATGAGTGAGTCAGAGAGTGGCCAGGTAATGTGTGTGGTAGCGGTGGTAGTGTGTCGGAAGGTAACTGCTGCCCAATAGAAATACATAAGAAAGATAGATCGATCTCTCTGTTGACCGGGGAAGAAATAGAGGTGACAAAGGGCACTGTATCTCACTGTCAGGCCCTGTATCTCACTATAAGGTACTGTCAGGTCTTGTATCAGACTGTAAGGCACTGTCAGGCCATGAATCTCACTGTAGGGCACTATCAGGCCCTGTATCTCACTGTAAGGCACTGTCAGTCCCTGTATCTCACTGTAGGGCACTGTCAGACCTTATATCTCACTGTAGGACACTGTCAGAGCCTGTATCTCACTGTAAGGCACTGTCAGGCCCTGAATCTCACTGTAGGGCACTGACAGTCCCTGAATCTCACTGTATGACACTGTATCTCACTGTAAGACACTGTCAGGCCCCGTACCTCATTGTAAGGCACTGTCAGGGCCTGCATCTCACTGTAAGGCACTGTCAGGGCCTGCATCTCACTGTAAGGCACTGTCAGGGCCTGCATCTCACTGTAAGGCACTGTCAGGTCCCGCATCTCATTGTAAGGCACTGTTAGGACCTATATCTCACTTTAGGGCACTGTCAGGGCCTGCATCTCACTGTAAGGCACTGTCAGGCCCTGAATCTCACTGTAGGGCACTGTCAGGCCCTGAATCTCACTGTAGGGCACTGTATCTCACTGTAAAGCACTGTCAGGCCCCGTATCTCATGTAAGGCACTGTCAGGACCTGTATCTCACTGTAGAGCACTATCAGGCCCTGTATCTCACTGTAAGGCACTGTCAGGGCCTGCTTCTCACTGTAAGGTACTGTCTGGCCATGTAAGGCATTGCCAGGTTTTGTATCTCACTGTAAAGCACTGCCAGGGCCTGTATATCACTGCACGGCACTGTCAGGGCCTGCTTCTCACTGTAAGGTACTGTCTGGCTATGTAAGGCACTGCCAGGTTTTGTATCTCACTGTAAAGCACTGCCAGGGCCTGTATATCACTGTACGGTACTGCCAGGGCCTGTATCTCACTGTAAGTTACTATCTGGCCATGTAAGGCACTGCCAGGTTTTGTATCTCACTGTAAAGCACTGCCAGGCCCTGTATCTCACTATCAGACACTGTATCTCACTGTACCATGGGCAGGTAGTAGAGACGAACGAAGACACTGTAACTCATTGCATCTCACTGTACCACGGGACAGGTGAACTAGGGCGCCGTGTCTCGCTGCTCCCCAGGGATGAAGTAGAGGCGGGCGGAGAGGTAGGTGCCAGGATCATTCGGGTCGTCACTTAGGAAGAACTGCTCACACAACTCCTCAAACACCTCTCGAGTCAGGACACGGCGACCCTGAGGTAGGAGGATGAAGTAGAGCTTAGAGACTTCATAAACCACACCTCCACCAATGCTCTTAAATGGATATAAAAGAGAGAGAGAGAGAGAGAGAGAGAGAGAGAGAAATAATTATCGTATACGTATCATCGGCACAATCTTCTCATAGCCTGACCAAACTGATAGATGTTGTTCTTACATGAGGGGGTAATTCATAAACATGTTGAATTTTTTTCCCCTACGAGTTAAGGAAAACCTGACACGTCCGTACATTGAACTGTGATTACCTGTTATCTTGTCATCCTCGAACCAATACTGTGGACTTACCTGACGACCTCTTCCTCCCACACTAACAGCAGTATTTACGAGCCTGACGAGAACACACATTAAACCCAAGATGCTGTTCCTCCCACACGAACAACATAAACTTATATACCTGACCTACAATTATCTATTCATTTGGTAAGTGTTAAGCTGCCGGGTATGACACTTCATGAGGTGAAAGTGAATTGTAGAAATTGGACAAAATATTGAAACACATTATTATCTGTACCTGTATTTCTGTGTGTGTGTGTGTGTGTGTGTGTGTGTGTGTGTGTGTGTGTGTATCAAAATTCATCGCCATTGTGAGGCAACTCCACGTTGGCATGAACGGCCGTGTCCTGCACAATGACACCCAGTCTGAGTTTTTCCCCATCCAAACGGGGGTAAAACAAGGGTGTGTACTGGCACCAGCTCTCTTTTCCATTTTCTTGGCTGCCTTCCTTACTCGTGCCAGTGCCAATTTAGCCAGCGGGGTAGACATCCGGATGAAGGGTCTTTTCAACATAAGAAGACTCCAGGCAGGAACAAAGGTGTCGGCAGCTTCCATTACTGAACTTCAGTATGTAGACGACCTCACCCTTGTCGCTCACACTGAAAGTGACCTACAGGTAGTCCTGAACACCTACACGTATGCCCACTTCGGCCTCGAGGTGAATGTACGTAAGACTCAGATTCTCTTTCAGCCTGCCCCAGGTTCAGCCACACCTCAACCATCCATCCAGCTTAACGGTACTACCCTCTCTAATGTTACCCACTTTCGGTATCTTGGCTCCCACCTGTCCACCACCGCGGACATCGATGAAGAGATTCAACATCGGATCAGATTTGCATCTCAAGCCTTTGGTAGACTCCGTACCCGTGTCTTCAGCTGTAGGGAGCTGAAATTATCGACAAAGTTGCACGTATATCGAGCAGTGGTCCTCCCCACCCTGCTATATGGCAGCGAGACATGGGTCACATACAGGAGGCACCTGATGGCACTTGAAAACTTTCATCAACGTAGTCTACGTTCCATCTTAACACAAACCTGAAAAAGTGCCAAATCGGCCCACTCACCAGGGAGACGATTACTCCACACCGTAACGCTTGGAGGATCACCACACGAGAAGGTGTCAATACTTTCGAGTTAGCCCGACTGTAAACCGAGGCAGACAAGCGCCAACGCCAGAAAGACGCTACAGCTGCCCCTCTGCGCTTGATATAACCCTCCACATGTGCAACATCTGTGATCAACCCTGCCGGTCCCGTATCGGCTTCTTTAGTCTCCTCAGAACTCACCAACGAAGGTGACATCCTTAATAGCTCATATCATTATATCATAGCTGAATGATCATCATACTCGATTCCGAGTGACAGCAAAGTAGTAGTAGTAGTAGTAGTAGTAGTAGTAGTAGTAGTAGTAGTAGTAGTATGTGTGTGTGTGTGTGTGTGTGTGTTATAGTGTAGATTTGAGACTGGACATAGTATGATGCCCATGATGATGATGATGATGATAAATATTCTGACTGTAGACACAATAAATGACAACAGAAATAACAACAACAACAATAAGGAAGAGGAAGAGGGGGAGGAAAGAGGGAGTTTTAGTTGCATGTATTTAAGAGTTCCCGGCGCACGAGGCAGGTGGAGGTGTGTGGAGGTCCTTAACACAGAGGTCAACCAAGTTCATGTCGCCCCGGGCCACTGCACTTCCCTCTGGCGTGAGTGAGTGAGTTAGTTAGTGAGTTGAGTGAGTGAGTGAGTGAAAAAATCACCCACAGCGACTCGATCTTCCATGTACTAAGTTGCTAAATAATGATGAAAGTGTCAAGAGAATTTTGTCCCTAACTTATACACAAAGGTAATAAGAAATACCCATTGATACTCATCTTCACACTTCACTTCACTAACCTCAGGTGTTAAATTCCGTCAAAGTATTTCGATAATGTCACTGAACTTTCTTGGCCAACAGATAATGATGTGATAAGGTCAATAGTCTTGAAGTAAATGTTTTTTTTTTTTTTTTTTTAGTTTCGTCATGTGGTGGAGAGGTCAAACTATTTTATATAGTGACAGGTCAACTCCCGTTCCTGTGTGTTAATGATGATGTTTTATGTAAACTTTCCTTATCTTTGTCTGTTTATATCTGTTTACATCTCTGTCTCTCTCTGTTTGCACCTGACTCTTTATTTACATGTGTCTCGTTGTTTACATCTCTGTGTATCTTTCTCGTTGTTTACATTTCTGTCTCTTTCCGTTTACATCTTCTCTCTTATTGTTTACATCTTTGTTTCTCGTTGTTTACATCTGTCTCTTTCTGTTTACATCTTTGTCTATCATTGCTTACATCTTTGTCTCTTTCTCTTTGTTTACATCTCTGTCTCTCACCACCATCTTCGTGTCTCGTATACAGAGATTAGAAAGTCATATTTTATTTAATTGTTCCGCTACCACTTCTTGACAGCTCCCTGGCGTGCTTGTGGCCTACCGGAGTAATTTACCTGCCTGCCTGCCTACCTACCCAGTCCCCAGCGGCGTCACACTCTCACCTCTCTCACCACCTTTCACACACACCAGGTCGCTAACCCTCTCAGTCCTCTTTTATCGTCGAGTTACTGAGAAATTTTCACGTGTGTGTGTGTGAGGATCGCTCTGTCGTGTCTTGTCAGGAATAATTCTAGTCTCTCCGTGTTGAACCTTTCTTAATGATGTTATATCATTCTGTAGGTTTGGTCTTCATGCTTGTATTCAGTAGACCAGGTGGGGACGTCCGAGAGATTTACAATGTTGAAGGAGCATTTTCTTATCATTATATTCCAAGGTGCAATTTAGGATTCCTAGAGTTTGGTTGTTTGGTTGGCTTCCTTTGTTGTTCTGCTTTAAGTGTTTAGTCGTGTTTAAGGTTATTGTGCCCCACAAGCAAAGTCACACTTTGCTGAATTCAAAAAGTATTTGCCAGTCGTGCAATCATTTAAGAAGTTCGTGCACATCGTTTTGCACGGATGGGATATCTTTGCGACTCACCACCTTCCCATATATCTTTATGTCGTCCGCAGTCGTGAATATGTGGATCGATATATTTTCATCAACATTGTTAATGTAGATCACAAACAGGGCGAGTCCGAGGATAGATCCTTGTGGTACTTCATCAAGAACTCTTCGAGGCAGTGTTTAATTCACTCCAATATTTTACTTGTGATGCCATGTGCCGGGATCTTAGAGGCTGGCCGTGCATGTGAAACTTTGTCGAATGCCTTCCAAAAATCCATGTACAACACATCTTCCGGTAAACTTTGGTACACGTAGTCTGTCACCGTTTCAAGGAAAGTGTACAAACATGTCAGACAAGAGTTTCTCTCCATGAAACCATGTTGACATGCTGGAGACTGTGTTCTGTATGGTGTTGGATGATGGCGTCCCTCAAAACTGCCTCAAAAAGTTTGTAAATATGTGAAGTTAGCTGATTGACCTATAGTTTTCTGCCGAACTCTCTCTACCTTACTGGGTGTAACGTTAACCGATATCCAGACATTAGACTTTTCTTTGATCTAAAGGTTTTCTGAATAGTATCTGTTTCCTTCCAAGACACAAAAATAGAGGGAAGAAAAATGCGTCTTGTCGTTACTATTATCAACCTCACACTAAATCAGGATCACACAGACGACTTGTCATCTTCGCAGAGACGCCACAAATAAATATTAAATGCTCCTTCTTGAGAACACCGCAGGCAAGTCAAGAGATTTTTTTTTTAACAGTGGAACATAACAGCGGCAGATGTCCTGAAGGAGCAACAACACACTACAATAACAACATCGAAGGCGTAAACTTTTATCACAGGTTCGCCCTCACACACACAATTGTCACCAGACCTTAACCTTCTCACTCTGGTGAACAGTATTGTGTGGCAGGTGAATCAGTCCTTCTTTGAGGCTCACGAGAATCACCACTTTGTTTATAAACATTGTATGAGGCCAGTGAGTCTAGTGAAACTACTCTACCGTAACCAGCAGCGGACGATACACGCCAGCGACCACATCATGTCTGTGGTGAGGGGGTGGGGAATGGGAGGGAGGGGGGAGGTGTAGGTACAAACCCCAGCTAATCCAGCCAAACATAATCTTGCCTTACCCTATCTGATATAATCTTACTTTTCCTACCTTACCTAACTTGACAGTATGAGAGGACTGAGGAAGATTTGAGTTGGTAGAATTTTGTTCAATGTTGTAATTAATTAGTGGTATTTTATTTCAGTGTTTCATTTAAATAGGATTTGGACCAGCAAGATTTAATTCACGGTGGGAAGGGGGGACTTTCCCGGGTAAAGTGGCAGAGAAAGTTAAGGGAGACAGTGTTTGTTCGTCCTGACCTCTGCTGGGGAACCCCCGAGCCCTCACACGGACACACCTCACTGGTAATCCCTTGAACGAGTGATTTTGACGAATAAGGCAAGGTGAGGGGGAGAGGTGAAGGGGAAAGAGGGAGGTAAGGTTAAGAAGGGAGGGAGAAAGAGAGAGAGGGAGGGAGGGAGGGAGGGAGGTAAAGAGAGGGAAGGTTCTGTGCGACATACCTGAACACACACACACACACACTATATTTCTGTCAGCAATATAAAAAGGTAATCACACTGACCCTGACCTTCCATTGACCTTCCCATAAAATTATATCACTTATTTTTATAGCCAACGTCAAGCCCGTAGGACAAGTTTCATTACAAGCAGTCATGTCATGTTTGAGGTGTACTACTCACAGACAGACAGACGAATAATACAAAACGCAACAGAGTGGTATAATTGGTTCCCTGGTTCCTATAAGCGAAGGTTACTGACAATAATCGTACGAACAAAGATTAAGAGATTGTCAATACTGATTACTGTGTGATAGTGAATATGGAGGTGATAAGGTGTCATAGATAGTGACATAGTAGTTTATTAACAATACTACTACTACTGGCAATGTGGGGGTGTTGTAGGGGAGAATTGATGAAGTGGGAGGTGCAGTGTGGGAGGTGTAGTGTGGGAGGTGTAGTGTGGAAGGTGTAGTGTGGGAGGTGTAGTGTGGGAGGTATAATGAGGGAGTTATAGTGAGGGGAGTTATGAGTGAACAGAGAGTAACAGCACAAGACTCTCGCTACCTTAGCCATCAGAAACCAGGATTTCTTAGCATCCTGTTCACTCGCTCCATACTGTGTCATCATGTAGACAAACTCATCCTCGTCCAACACCCCGTCACCTGTGGGAGGAGGGAAAAACACAGATGACTATATATTGTCGTTATTCATCACACACATCGTATACAGCACTGTACATACAATCTCTCAGTATCTTCACATTTTCCTACACATACCAATAGTTAATGATGCTACAAACAGTAGGAATCGAGGATATTTTTCCGTATTAGCACCCAACTCACGCACAACACAACTATTGGTCCTACCACTTACCGTATGCAATTCTAAGCAACTTTTCTTCTATAAACATCCGTCGGAAATTACTCCTTGTCGAAATATTGAATTTTTTACGTAAATAATTTTGTCGGTCACGGAGTGTGGGTGGCCAAAGCGCATGTCCTAGCAGGTGCATTGTGGGAGAGCTGCAGCTAATGAATTAAGATTATTAAAAATCAGCCAATCATCATCTTCCTTGAGGCGACAGCCCGACAGATTTGATTTTGAAAAGTCAATCCTTGTCTAGCCATGTCTGTGTGTACGCTGCGACTGGAACTATTTTGCTGCCTTTTCCGAATTCTATGAGAATAACAACAGGGTTTTAAACTTTCTTCATGAGCAATGTTTTTTGCCCAGGTATCCTCCTTAGTGACCAACGCATAATAAAGACTGAGTGCGACGCAGCCTCCTATCCCTGCCTCTGTAGACGAGCACGATCCTCAACCTCAGTTCGGGTCTTCATCAGAGTAAATGGTAGGCAGAACAATAGTTAATTTTCGATTGGGTTAGGTTAGTTTGGGCTAGGTTAGGGGGGAGGGGGGTTAATAACTCAGAAACGGGTGATTTCCGACAGAAATTTAATGTTAGAATCACACTAAAAACCTTAGGAAAAAGAACATTTTAACATTTTAAGCTTCGGAGGGCGTTGGGTATTAATCATGAAATTTACCGAATCAAAAGTATTGGTGACTGGTACTGTATTTTTAGGGATCCTTGTAGGGTTTGTAGTTTAAGGAAGATTATACTTTAGTTAACCATGAAAAAGTTGCCATGAGAAAGAATGGCGAAGACCGAAATATTTTACAGAAAACGCAGACGTAATGTTTTTGTGAACGGGATGACTATGACAAATATTTCAGGCGCGTTGAAAATAGTCGTATGTTAGATTGATATAATTAACGGAAGAAATAAAATAAAGGTAATGGAATAAATAATGTTTCTTTATTCTTTTCCATATTTTATGACCTGTATTAATATAACCAAACTCCACCCCGGCGACTTTTCCTTCTCTTCCTATCTTATCTAGACTTTCACTTTCTTCCTCACTTATTTTCGCATTTCTACTTTCTTAATATTCTCCTCATTCTCTGCTTTCACCTCCTCCGTGTATTATTATTACTCCTCGTACATCCTCTCCTCTTTCTCTTCCTTCTTTATCCTTTTCTTCTCTTCAATCCTCTGCTTCACCTCCTCTATCCTCTTCCCCCTTTCTCTACATTTTCATTTACCTCCTTTATCTCTCCTCTATCCTTTCCTCTTCTTCTATCCCCTCCCTCTTCCTCTCCCCACTCCTCCTCTATATCTTGCTCTATCCCTTTCTCTTCCTCCTCCTCCACCCTGCTCAACACCTAACCTACCTGCAGCATCAAGCATCATAAACTTGTAGTAGAAGTAATCTCTCATCCATTCAGGTGGTTTTCGTATGATCTTCTCAGGGTTCACCTTCAGCTGGGTACTCTCCTCCGGGGGGCTGTTCCTGGACTGCTTCTCTATCTCCTCCCACAGCATCATCTGCAAGTAGGAAGACCTTTTAACACTCTCTCTCTCTCTCTCTCTCTCTCTCTCTCTCTCTCTCTCCTTTTTAACCTACCCTACACCCTGGTGACTCCTTAACCTACCCTCCACCCCGTGTGACACCCTCCAGCCTACCCCTCCCACCCTGGTGACTCCTTAACCTACCCACTCACCCTGGTGACTCTTTAACCCTCTCCCTCCACCTAGTGACTCCTTAACCTACCCACTCCCACCCTGGTGACTCTTTAACCTACCCCTCCACCCTGTTGACTCCTTAACCTACCCTCCCACCCTGGTGACTCCTTAACTACCCACTCACCCTGGTGACTCTTTTAGCCTACCCCACTCCCACCTGAGTGACTCCTTAACCTACCCTCCCACCTGGTGACTCCTTAACCTACCCACTCCACCCCTGGTGACTCTTTAACCTACCCACTCCACCCTAGTGACTCCTTAACCTACCCTCCACCTAGTGACTCCTTAACCTACCCTCCACCCCTAGTGACTCCTTAACCTACCACTCCACCTGGTGACTCCTTCTTCCCTACCCCACTCCACCTGGTGACTCTTTAACCTACCCCTCCACCCTGATGACTCCTTAACCTACCACTCCCACCCTGGTGACTCCTTAACCTACCCCTCCCACCCTGTGACTCTTGCTGCCCTACCACTCACCTGGTGGCTCATAACCTGCCCCTCCACCCTGGTGGCTCTTTAACCTACCACTCCACCTAGTGACTCCTTAACCTACTGCACTCACCCTGGTGACTCATGTGCTTACCCCTCCCACCCCTAGTGACTCATAACCTACCACTCCACCCTAGTAGCTCCTTAACCTACCCCTCACCTGGTGACTCTTTAACCTACCCTCACCCTGAGCTCCTTAACCTACTCCCACCCTGGCAGCTCACTTAACACCTCCACCTGGTGACTCTTTAACACCCCTCCACCCTAGTAGCTCCTTAGCCCTCCACCCATTTGGCTCCTTAACCTACCCTCCCACCCTGGTGACTCTTTAACTACCCTCCCACCCTGGTGACTCCTTAACCTACCACTCCACCCCTGAGTGACTCCTTAACCTACCCCTCCCCACCTGGTGACTCTTTAACCCACCACTCCACCCTAGTGACTCCTTAACCTACCACTCCACCCTGGTGACTCCTTAACCCTACCCTCCCACCCTAGTGACTCCTTAGCCTACCCTCCACCTAGTGGCTCCTTAACCTACCACTCCACCCTGGTGACTCCTTAACCACCCTCCACCTAGTGACTCTTAACCTACCCCTCCACCTAGCTCCTTAACCCACCACTCCACCCTGGTGACTCCTTAACCTACCCCTCCCACCCTGGTGACTCCTTAACCTACCCCTCCACCTAGTGACTCCTTAACCTACCCTCCCACCCTGGTGACTCCTTAACCTACCCCTCCACCCCTAGTGACTCCTTAACCTACCCTCACCTGGTGACTCCTTAACACCTACCCACTCCACCCTGGTGACTCCTTAACCTACCCACCCCACCCTGGTGACTCCTTAACCTACCCCACTCCACCCTAGTGACTCCTTAACCTACCACTCCACCCTGGTGACTCCTTAACCCTACCACTCCACCCTGGTGACTCCTTAACTACCACTCCACCCTGGTGACTCCTTAACCCACCCACTCCACCCTGGTGACTCATAACCTACCCCTCCCACCTAGTGACTCCTTAACCTACCACTCCCACCTGGTGACTCCTTAGCCTACCCACTCCACCCTAGTGACTCCTTAACCTACCACTCCACCTGGTGACTCCTTAACCTACCCTCCCACCTGGTGACCCTTAACCTACCCCTCCCACCCCTGGTGACTCCTTAACCTACCCCTCCACCCTAGTGACTCCTTAACCCACCACTCCCACCCTGGTGACTCCTTAACCTACCCTCCACCTGAGCTGTAACCTACCACTCCACCTGGTGACTCCTTAACCTACCCACCCCTAGTGACTTGCTCATCCTGGTCTTCGTCGACGTGCCTCCTGACGGCTAGCCAAATGTTCTTCATAAGGGCGAAGAGCCTCAGAATTTAGAGGATCATCTTCCCGCCAGCCACACCGTCGGCGCAGTCGATCCCCACATAGCACCAGGTCCGAGTGTTCAACACCCCATCATGGTTCATATCTGGGGGTGGGAGGTGTTAGTGGGTAGAGAGTGTTAGGGAATTAAGAAGTGTTATGAGGTGTTAAGAAGTGTTAGTGGATGTTAGGATTGTTAAGAGTGTTGAGAGATTGATAAGAGAATGGGTGTTAGAGGGTGTTAGAGTGTGTTAGTGGGTGTTAGAGGGTGATAGTGAATGTTAAGTAGAGGTGTTAAAGAGAATGTTGAGTGGGTGTTAGAGTGTTAGAGGGTGTTAGTGGAGTGTCAAATGTTAGAGGAGTGTTGAGTGAGAATGTTAGAAGAATAATTAGTGGGTGTTAGAAGTGTTAAGAGTGTTAGAGGGTGATGAGTGGGTGATAGTGGGTGTTAAGAGTGTTAGAGGGTGTTAAGAGAGTGTTAGTGGGTGTTAGAGGGTGTTAGAGGGTGTTAGTGGGTGTTAAGAGTGTTAGAGGGTGTTAGTGGGTGTTAGAGGGTGTTAGAGGGTGTTAGTGGGTGTTAGAGGGTGTTAAGAGTGTTAGAGGGTGTTAGAGGGTGATAGTGGGAGTTAGAGGGTGTTAAGAGAGTGTTAGTGGGTGTTAGAGGGTGTTAAAAGAGTGTTACAAAGTATTAGTGGGTGGTAGAAGGTATTTAAAAGATTGGGATGTGGCTTCTAGATGGTAAGGGCTGTGATGTGATAAAGATGTGTAGATGATGTGTTACAGAGGCATCATGGTGCATCAGTCAGTCGAGGATGGAGATGAGAGCAACACTTTCTCTGCCACACTCAGAATAACGTGACAGTTGAGTCGCTTTTAAAAAGGGCGATACATTCCCGATTTATTTAAAGAATTATACAAAATGATAAATAAATAAAATTACTAAACAAAAAATAAATTAAAAACCCCAGAATCATATAAACACACAATGTAAAAAAACAAAAAACAATCAGCTGCTCTTACGTGAAATAATCTCCAGCGGAAAATCAAATAAACCCCATCCTAAGTACAATGCATTTTCAAAGTAAATCTCGCTTAAAAGCCACGTACTGTTACAGTTATAATGTCATTTTTAAAAGCGATTCCACTGTCACATTACTCTGAGTATGGCAGAGAAAATGTTGCTCCCTCATTCATTATAAATAAACCTTATTATACAACAACACCTATGATAAACCAACCCTATTTTTCTCAGTATTAAATAACATTCTTATTAAATTATTTCCTCACTTACAAAATAACAATTATAATACTTCAACCCCCCCCCTCTCTTATTATAAAACTACCCCCCCCTTTTCTCTCTCATCATAAAACAATCACCTCTTCACCATCATAAAGCAACCTCCTCCTCCCCGTCATAAAAACTACCCCCTCTATCATCATAAAACAACCCTTCCTCCCTGTCATAAAATCATTCTCCTCTCTCTCCCTCATCATAAAACTACCCCCCATCATCATAAAACCACCCCTCCTCCCGTCATAAAACTACCCTCCTCTCTCCCTCATCATAAAGAACCCTCCTCCCGTCATAAACTACCTCTCATCATCATAAAAACAACCCCTTCCTCCCCTGTCATAAAATCCATTCCTCCTCTCTCCTCATCATAAAACTACCCCTCCCCTCATCATAGCTAGAACCCCCTCCTCCTGTCATAAAACTACCCTCTCTATCATCATAAAAACAACCCCTCCATCATAAAACAACCCCCTCCCCCGTCATCATAAAACTACCCCACTCAGTCATAAACTACTCCCTCTCTCCCCATTTTAAACAACAGGTGAGCCCTACAGTCGGGCCAGGAGAGTCAAGACAAAAGCCGGATTTAAAGAAGAAAGAACTGCAAGGGGGGGACCAGGCATGAAACGTCAGGTCCTCTTTACATCTACAGTTCCATTTCAGAAAGGTTGTGGCTGGGGGAACTAAAAGCCTTGGAAATATGAAGCTACTGTGGGAGGAGGGGGGGGGAGGAGGGAGGGGGAGGGAGGGGAAGGAGGGGAAGAAAGTAGGAGGTAAAAAAAGGAGTAGAGGAAGAGGGAGGAGGAGAAGAAGGGGGAACAGGGAGAAGAAGGGAAGTAGGAACAGGGATATGGAGGAAAGAGTGAAGGAGAAGAAGGAGATAGGAAGAGTAGAAGGAATTAGGAAAGGACGAGATGGGAAAGAGAGAAGTGAGGAGGAAGAGGAGCAGGAGGAGGGGAGAAAAGGGAGCGGAATGAGGAAAAGGAGTGAGGAAAGAAGGAAAAAATGGAGGGGCAAATGAGAAAGGAGGACAGCAGGGGGGAAGGGGGGAAATTTCAGGGAATGAGATCGAAGAGAGAGAGGGAAAGAAGGAGTGACTAGAGAGGTGAATGAGAGGGTATGAGGAAGTGAGAGAAGAAGAGAGAAAAAGGGGAGTTATTAGGGACGGAATGAGTGAGAGAAGTAGAGGGAATGAGGCTGAAGGAAGGTAAGGGAAGGAGTGGAGTAGGATGGAGGAGAAAATGGAAAGGAGGGAGGAATAAAAGGGAAGAGGAGGGAGTAAGTGCGTAAGTGGTGTCGCGAGAGGGGAAGGGATGGATGGAGGGAGGGGAGGGAGGGAGGAGGGAGGAGGGAGAGGAGTGGTGAGTGAGGGAGGGTGTGAGGGAGGGTGTCAAGGAGGGAAGGTGAGAGGGAGCAGAAAGAGGGAGGAGGGAGTGAGGAGGGGGGGAGGAGGGAGGGAGGAGGAGGGAGGAGGAGGGAGGAAGGGTGAGTGCCAGCGCGAATCAAAAGAAAAGGTGGGCCATTGTTTTATTCCAAGCCGACTTCATTGTGGACTAAATGGCCGTCCTTAATTGTGTATTCTGACTGGGTTTCGCTACTCCAGGGAATTTCTACGACTGGGCCTGAGTTATATACTGCGTGTGGCGGCTGTGTGTGTGTGTGTGTGTGTGTGTGTGTGTGTGGCGGCATTCGTAAGGATTCGTTTGGGAGATATATATAAATATATATATATATATATATATATATATATATATATATATATATATATATATATATATATATATATATATAAAAAAGCAGACACACGGTTGTATGTATGAAGCGGCTCTATAGGCACTTGTATGTATGTATGTATGAATGTACTCATATATACAGTATGTATGTATGCAATTATGTATCTTCGTATGAATGTCTACGTATATGAAAGTACGAGAGCAAGTACAGTATGTAAATATTTTTACACTCTTATATATACAACTTAATGTGCATTTATGCGTGTACGTATATACTGTGTAGGTGGAGGAGGAGCACAGACACACGCTGGTACACAGGTGTGATTCAGCCTCTCTCACCGTCAGAATCACCTACATAAGCTCTGTATGTGTTTATGAGTACATATTTACCTCACTATTTATTCTCACTTACATGATTGCACACACACACACACACACACACACACACACACACACACACACACACACACACACGTCCCTGCTGGGGCGAGAGGAATACATTAATATGTTTAGATTTGCTTTTAACGTCACTGGGAAGATGTGTGGATGTTGACATAATAATGTGAGGAATGTGTACTTAATTTTGTAGTGATAATAGTGTCTTCGTGAACCATGGTACACCGGACAACTCACCAACTGCACTGGTTAACCATATACCTCCCCCTAACACGATCCACCGAATGCTTTTACACCCAGGTTCCCAATTACTGCTGGGTCGACAGGTGCAAATGGCGTAAACAAATTGATGTTTTGCCAAGTAAGGATGAATTTTGTTTTTATTACCCTAACTTAAGGGAAATTAGGTTAGATTGGGTTGCTCAGGTTAGGTTAGGTTAGGTTAGGTTAGTAGTGATACAGTTAATGTATGGCCTTTTACTATGTAGTACATGATTATCAACCAAAAACTATCACATTCACAACTGTCTTTTATTAGTGCGACAGATACTGTAGCTCTACAAATATACACACACTATTGTTCAAGTTAATGGTCTAATGTTTGTATGTTAAAGACCAGTTTATATGATCTGTCTTGTTTACCTTCATAGTTAATTATTATGTGTTGTTTACTATATCCAGGTGTAATGTGTGTGTGTGTGTGTGTGTGTGTGTGTGTGTGTGTGTGTGTGTGCGTATATGTTTGAATGTGCATGTGCAGCACTGTTTGTATGAAAGTGTGTATGTAAGTGGAGGAGGAGTACACACACACACACACACACACACACACACACACACACACACACACACACCAGGTAAGAGTGGCCGCCATCTCAGGGACTTACCGAGGAAGGTGTTGAACTCGAAGAGGAGTTTCTCTCTCCTGAAGGAGGAGATGAGGGACTCGGAACGGTCGACACAGGGACTGAAGAACTGAGACACCCACGACCACAACTGCACACAATACTCCACACACATTACGACGCCCATACACGCCTCATCAACCTTTAAAATATCCCTGTGAAATAACAAAAAACTAATGAAATGATTATTAGATAAGAAGATAGATAACTAAATACATTAATCGATAGATAGTTCTCTTTAATGTCGGATACAATTATTTCACGCTACATTTACCTCCACGTCACCACACACAAGGAGACAATCACGATACATCGGTTGAGAGGAAAAAAAAAGTGAACATTACGCCACAACACTTTAATTTCCTGGCTCACCTGCA